GTTGTGGTTTTCACACCTGATGATGATTGCTTGTGTTGCAGTCGAAACGTAGTGAGAATTTTATTGTTTTATGTTTTTATTATGTTATTGTTTCCCTTCTACGTGGTGGTGACTTTACCGAAAGAACCCAGAATATGAATCCCTGCAGTCACGAAAGCTTTAAATCAAAATTAATTATCTGGTCGTGTGTGTAGTAAACATCGCCACTGGGGAGACAAAGGCGGCCGGGCGTGGTGCTGGTAGCCACCCACCCCCTCTGTGTGCGTGGGGGGGGGGGGGGGCTGTGTGTGTGTGTTTGTCATGGGGCAGACCCAGCAGGTGCCACGGGTCGACTGACTGAGATGACTGGCTGATGCACCACCTGTGCCCCCTACTGTGCCAACCTGCTGTGCTTTAGCCACCCGGCGCTCCGCTCGTTGTTGTGAGCGTCGCTCCTCCGCCCTCCGTTGTTGTTGGAGGGCGACTGCCTCCAACTGCCCAGTAGCATCCTTCACGAGCCTCCTCCACAGAGGCCGATCTTGACACCGCTGGTACCAGTCATCGGCAAGTCCACTCAGCTCCACGTCCTCCTGTACCACATCACTCCATCTCTTCTCTAGCCCGTGCCGCGCCCGCTTAGCCCCCTCAATCCGGCCAAACAAAAGCTGTTTCGGCATGCGGTGGCTGGGCATGCGGGCTACATGACCCAGCCATCGCAGCCTTGCCTGCCGGAGGAGCTCACCGATGGGACCCTGCCCAGATCTTTCAAGGATTTGTGAGCTCCTCACACAATCCAGTCTGGTTAAACCCAGGATGGATCGTAGGCAGGCCAGCCTAAATGTTTCTAACCGGCGAAGATGTTCCATTAGGGGGGTCCACGTTTCGCAAGCGTAGAGAAGGGAGGGAATGACCGTGGCCGAGAAGACCTGAAGCTTAGTGCGGAGCGACAGACCAGGTAGCTTCCACACAGCGTTACGCAACCGATGAAAAGATATTGCCGCTCGACTGATTCGGAGTGAGTCCTCTGCTGTTAAACTGGAGCCGGTCATAAGCACACTGCCCAGGTATGGGAAACTCTCCACTCTCTCCACAACTGCCCCAACACACACACACACTGACACACACATTGACACACACACACTGACACACACACACACTGAGACACACACTGACACACACACACTGACACACACACACTGACACACACACACAACAACAACCGCCATTCGCCACTAAGTGGCGGTGACGTCACCACGACGCTTGTGCCAGGCTATGTGCACCCTGAGGCCACGTGAAGTGTCGAACGCCCGCTGGCAGGAGGTCACGGGGCAGACCCAGGTGCCACGGGTCGACTGACTGAGATGACTGGCTGATGCACCACCTGTGCCCCCTACTGTGCCAACCTGCTGTGCTTTAACCACCCGGCGCTCCGCTCGTTGTTGTGAGCGTCGCTCCTCCGCCCTCCGTTGTTGTTGGAGGGCGACTACCTCCAACTGCCCAGTCGCATCCTTCACGAGCCTCCTCCACAGAGGCCGATCTTGACACCGCTGGTACCAGTCATCGGCAAGTCCACTCAGCTCCACGTCCTCCTGTACCACATCACTCCATCTCTTCTCTAGCCCGTGCCGCGCCCGCTTAGCCCCCTCAATCCGGCCGAACAAAAGCTGTTTCGGCATGCGGTGGCTGGGCATGCGGGCTACATGACCCAGCCATCGCAGCCTTGCCCGCCGGAGGAGCTCACCGATGGGACCTTGCCCAGATCTTTCAAGGATTTGTGAGCTCCTCACACAATCCAGTCTGGTTAAACCCAGGATGGATCATAGGCAGGCCAGCCTAAATGTTTCTAACCTGTGAAGATGTTCCACTGACACACTCACACAATGACACACACACACACTGACACACACACACACACATATCACTGACACACACACACACTGACACACACAGACACACGGACAGACTCACACACTGACACACACACACACACTGACACACACACACACACTGACACACACACACACACTGACACACACTGACACACACACACTGACACACACACACACACTGACACATACACACACACACTGACACACACAGACACACGGACACACTCACACACTGACACACACACGGACACACTCACACACTGACACACACACACACTGACACACACACTGACACACACACACACACAGACACACCCACACACACACACACACTGACACACACACACTGACACACTAACACACACACTGACACACACACACACTGACACACACACTGACACACACTGACACACACACTGACACATACACGGACACACTCACACACTGACACACACACACACTGACACACACTAACACACACACACACACACACTGACACACACTGACACACACACACACACACTGACACACACACACTGACACACACTGACACACACACACTCACACACTCACACACACACAACACACACACACACACTGACACACACACACACACTGACACACATACACACTGACACACACACACACTGACACACACACATACACACTGACACACACACACTGACACACACACACACTGACACACACACTGACACACTGACACACACACACTGACACACACACTGACACACACACTGACACCCCTCCACGTCTCTCTCTCACCCTCCCTCTCAGTGCACCTGACGCTTCAGCTGTTACAGCCACGCGTCACACACGCGCATGTCACACACACACAGACACACACACCCCCATTCATTCACACAGACACACACACACCCATTCATTCACACAGACACACACACACCCCCATTCATTCACAAAGACACACAGACACACACACCCCCATTCATTCACACAGACACACAGACACACACACAGATACACACACACAGATACACACACACACAGACACACACACAGACACACATACACACACATACACCCCGATTCATTCACACACACACACAGACACACACACACTGACACACACACACACAGACACACACACACAGACACACACACCCAGACACACACAGACACACACACACAGTACACACACACACACAGATACACACACACAGACACACAGACACACACCCCCATTCATTCACACAGACACACACACACAGACACACACACACAGACACACACACAGACACACACACAGACATACACAGACACACACACGCGCATGTCACAGACGCGTGCCATAGACGCAAAGGCACACGCTCACACACATACATGCGCACACAGACAAAGCTCCCCCGTGTAGCCTCTAGCAGGGCTGTAGGGGCAAGTGCTGTTAGTAGCGAGTAGCAGCAGCACCTATACACAGACAAAGATCCCCCAGGTACCCTCTAGCAGGGATGTAGGGGCAAGTGCTGTTAGTAGCGAGTAGCAGCAGCACCTATACACAGACAAAGATCCCCCGTGTAGCCTTAACAGACTGTAGGGGCAAGTGCTGTTGGTAGCGAGTAGCAGCAGCACCTATACACAGACAAAGATCCCCCGTGTAGCCTCTAACAGGGCTGTAGGGGCAAGTGCTGTGTTGATGGTGGAGATGTATGGAGGTGTGTTAATGGTGGAGATGTATGGAGGTGTGTTCATGGTGGAGATGTATGTAGGCGTGTTCATGGTGGAGATGTATGTAGGTGTGTTGATGGTGGAGATGTATGTAGGTGTGTGGATGGTGGAGATGTATGGAGGTGTGTTCATGGTGGAGATGTATCAAGGTGTGTTGATGGTGGAGATGTATGGAGATGTGTTCATGGTGGAGATGTATGGAGGCGTGTTCATGGTGGAGATGTATGGAGGTGTGTTCATGGTGCAGATGTATCAAGGCGTGTTCATGGTGGAGATGTATGTAGGTGTGTTGATGGTAGAGATGTATCAATGTGTGTTGATGGTGGAGATGTATGTAGGTGTGTTGATGGTGGAGATGTATGTAGGTGTGTTGATGGTGGAGATGTATGTAGGTGTGTTGATGGTGGAGATGTATGGAGGTGTGTTGATGGTGGAGATGTGTGTAGGCGTGTTCATGGTAGAGATGTGTGGAGGTGTGTTGATGGTGGAGATGTATCAAGCTGTGTTCATGGTGGAGATGTATGTAGGCGTGTTCATGGTGGAGATGTATGGAGGTGTGTTGAGGGTGGAGATGTATGGAGATGTGTTGATGGTGGAGATGTATCAAGATGTGTTGATGGTGGAGATGTATGTAGGTGTGTGGATGGTGGAGATGTATGGAGGTGTGTTGATGGTAGAGATGTGTGGAGGTGTGTTGATGGTGGAGATGTATGGAGGTGTGTTGATGGTGGAGATGTATGGAGGTGTGTTGATGGTGGAGATGTATGGAGGTGTGTTGATGGTGGAGATGTATGGAGGTGTGTTGATGGTAGAGATGTATCAATGTGTGTTGATGGTGGAGATGTATGTAGGCGTGTTGATGGTGGAGATCTATGGAGGTGTGTTGATGGTGGAGATGTATGTAGGTGTGTTGATGGTGGAGATGTATGTAGGTGTGTTGATGGTGGAGATGTATGTAGGCGTGTTCATGGTAGAGATGTGTGGAGGTGTGTTGATGGTGGAGATGTATGGAGGTGTGTTGATGGTAGAGATGTATCAATGTGTGTTGATGGTGGAGATGTATGTAGGTGTGTTAATGGTGGAGATGTATGTAGGCGTGTTAATGGTGATGTATGGAGGTGTGTTCATGGTGGAGATGTATGTAGGTGTGTTGATGGTGGAGATGTATGGAGATGTGTTGATGTGGGAGATGTATGTAGGCGTGTTAATGGAGATGTATGGAGGCGTGTTGATGGTGGAGATGTATGTAGGTGTGTTGATGATGGAGATGTATGTAGGCGTGTTGATGGTGGAGATGTATGGAGGCGTGTTCATGGTGGAGATGTATGTAGGTTTGTTGATGGTGGAGATGTATGGAGGTGTGTTCATGGTGGAGATGTATGGAGGTGTGTTGATGGTGGAGATGTGTGCACGTGGTGACTGCGTCTCCTCACGGATGAGCCTGAAGCTCGCCGATTGCCTTGCGAGTTTCAGCGACTGGTCCAGCCAGGCCACTTCGAGGAGCGGTTCCCACTGCGAAGCCTCATCAACACCTCTCCACGTTCCGCCGGTGGATGCCCTGGGACCTCCCGGCCCCCCTCGTTCCCCAGCTCCACCACCACCAGCTCCACCACCACCACCACCACCACGAGGACGAGGACGAGGAGGAGGAGGAGGAGGTCCCTCGCCACTAAGACGTTCTCCGCCAAGGCCAGGATCCAGAGGATCCGGAGGACCGGTGGACTTCCCGGCAGGGCCGCGGGCTTCGGGAGGCAGGGGGCCTCCACGACGCTTCGCCCCGGGACCTCCGAGCGGTTGAGAATCGGCGGCAGGTCCATCGGGCGATCGGGCGCCTCCGAATTTCCCGCTAAGTACCTCGAGCCCCCCACCCAGTGCGTCCGCTCCCGCGGTTGCAGGCCCCTCGGACGTCAGGGGGCTCCCACCGGCCGCCCCTCGGGGGGTCCCGCTCGGCCCCCGGAATCCCCGAGATCCCCCGGAACGTTCAGAGGCCGCGGGTCCGCCAGGGCCTCCGGGAGGAGGAGGCCCGCGGGCCAGGAGATCCGGAGGACCGGCGGACGCCCCTCGGGCGATCCCAGCGTCTCCCGGAGACGCAGGTCCTCCAGATGTTGCCCCGTCCAATCCTCCCGGCTCGTAAAATCCTCCGCCTCTCCGAGGGCCACCATCCTCGTGAGATTCCTCAGATCCTCGGGACCTCCCCGACGTGTCAAAACTCCCAGTCGCGTCCCGATGCCTCGACATCCCAGATCCTCCAGTCTCCTGCAGTGTGGAACACAACGGCACGTGTGGCATGAGCGATGGGGGGTAGACACGGCCACCGTGAACTCGGCCAGACGGCCACCGTGAACTCGGCCACACGGCCACCGTGAACCCGGCCACCGTGGACTCGGCCACACGACCACCGTGAACTCGGCCACACGGCCACCGTGAACCCGGCCACCGTGGACTCGGCCACACGACCACCGTGAACTCAGCCACACGACCAGCGTGTACACAGAGACACGACCACCGTGAACACAGAGACACGGCTACCGTGAACTCAGAGACACGGCCACCGTGTACACAGAGACACGGCCACCATGTACACAGAGACACGGCCACCGTGAACTCAGCCACACGGCCACCGTGAACTCAGCCACACGTCCACCGTGAACTCAGCCACACGACCACCGTGAACTCAGCCACACGGCCACCGTGAACTCAGCCACACGTCCACCGTGAACTCAGCCACACGACCACCGTGAACTCAGCCACACGACCACCGTGAACTCAGCCACACGGCCACCGTGAACCCGGCCACACGACCACCGTGAACTCAGCCACACGACCACCGTGAACTCAGCCACACGGCCACCGTGAACTCAGCCACACGTCCACCGTGAACTCAGCCACACGACCACCGTGAACCCGGCCACACGACCACCGTGAACTCAGCCACACGGCCACCGTGAACTCAGCCACACGGCCACCGTGAACCCGGCCACACATCCACCGTGAACACAGCCACACGGCCACCGTGAACCCAGCCACACGGCCAATTTGACCACTCACCTGCAGGAAGAATCCGGGCCTAGTCAAGGCTTCTATGGCGACAAAACCGGGGTAGAAGAGGTCTTCGTGCAGCCAGAAGGTGGCGTCGTTGGCGAAGGCCGGTGACGGTCTCACGACCACTTCGTCGTCATCGTCATCATCGTCATCATCATCATCATCGCCATCGCCGCCATCGCCATCGCCGCCATCGTCACCGCCGTCACCTCCATCGCGGTGATTCTGCCGGCGGTTCGGAGTTTGCCGGCGGTGGCGGCGGCGAGGCTCCCAGCGCTCCAGGTAGACCTGGCCATCCCGGCGCAGGCGCAGGAAGTTGTTGGGGCGGGAGGACGACTCGATGGAGACGGCCCGCGGGGAAAATGACGAGGACGAGGATGGGGGTGGGGCTGGTGGTGGTGGCGGCGGTGGTGGTGGGGGTGGTGATGATGGTGGTGATGGTGGTGGGGGTGGGGGTGTTGGTGCTGGTGGGGGTGGGGGTGGTGGTGGTGATGGTGGTGATGGTGGTGATGGTGATGGTGGTGATGGTGATGGTGGTGATGGTGGTGATGGTGATGGTGGTGATGGTGGTGATGGTGGTGATGGTGATGATGATGGTGGGGGTGGGGGTGGGGGTGATGGTGGTGGTGGTGGTGATGATGATGGTGGTGGTGGAGATGGCGGTGGTGGCGGTGGCGGTGATGATGATGATGATAGTGTTGGTAATGGTGTTGATGATGGTGGTGGTGATGTTGGTGGTGGCGGTGGTGGTGATGGTGGTGGTGGCGATGATGATGATGATAGTGTTGGTAATGGTGTTGATGATGGTGGTGGTGATGTTGGTGGTGGCGGTGGTGGTGATGGTGGTGGTGGCGATGATGATGATGATAGTGTTGGTAATGGTGTTGATGATGGTGGTGGTGATGTTGGTGGTGGCGGTGGTGGTGATGGTGGTGGTGGCGATGATGATGATGATAGTGTTGGTAATGGTGTTGATGATGGTGGTGGTGATGTTGGTGGTGGCGGTGGTGGTGATGGTGGTGGTGGCGATGATGATGATGATAGTGTTGGTAATGGTGTTGATGATGGTGGTGGTGATGTTGGTGGTGGCGGTGGTGGTGATGGTGGTGGTGGCGGTGATTATGATGATGGTGGTGGTGGTGGTGATGGAGGTGGTGGCGATGGTGGCAGTGGGAAGGAAAAACAGAGGGAGGGTAATCGTTATCATTTTCATCATCAGGGGTGATGGTAGTGATGGTAGTGATAGTGGTGGTAGTGATAGTGGTGGTAGTGATAGTGGTGGTAGTGATAGTGGTGGTAGTGATAGTGGTGGTAGTGATAGTGGTGGTAGTGATAGTGGTGGTAGTGGTGGTAGTGATAGTGATAGTGGTGGTAGTGGTGGTAGTGATAGTGGTGGTAGTGGTGGTAGTGATAGTGGTGGTAATGGTGGTAGTGATAGTGATGGTAGTGATAGTGGTGGTAGTGATAGTGGTGGTGGTGGCGGTAGTAAGTGATGGTAGTGATAGTGGTGGTAGTGGTGGTAGTGATAGTGATGGTAGTAATAGTGGTGGTAGTGATAGTGGTGGTAGTGATAGTGGTGGTAGTGATAGTGGTGGTAGTGATAGTGGTGGTAGTGATAGTGGTGGTAGTGGTGGTAGTGATAGTGATAGTGGTGGTAGTGGTGGTAGTGATAGTGGTGGTAGTGATAGTGGTGGTAGTGATAGTGGTGGTAGTGATAGTGGTGGTAGTGATAGTGGTGGTAGTGGTGGTAGTGATAGTTGTGGTAGTGATAGTGGTGGTAGTGATAGTGGTGGTAGTGGTGGTAGTGGTGGTGATAATGGTGATGGTGATAGTGGTGGTAGTGATAGTGATGGTAGTGATAGTGATGGTAATGATAGTGGTGGTAGTGATAGTGATGGTAGTGATAGTGATGGTAGTGATAGTGGTGGTAGTGATAGTGGTGATAGTGATAGTGGTGGTAGTGGTGGTAGTGATAGTGGTGGTAGTGATAGTGGTGGTAGTGATAGTGGTGGTAGTGATAGTGATGGTAGTGATAGTGGTGGTAGTGATAGTGATGGTAGTGATAGAGGTGGTAGTGATAGTGGTGGTAGTGATCGTGGTGGTAGTGATAGTGATGGTAGTGATAGTGATGGTAGTGATAGTGGTGGTAGTGATAGTGATGGTTGTGATAGTGGTGGTAGTGATAGTGGTGGTAGTGATAGTGGTGGTAGTGATAGTGGTGGTAGTGATAGTGGTGGTAGTGATGGTAGTGATAGTGATGGTAGTGATAGTGGTGGTAGTGATAGTGGTGGTAGTGATAGTGGTGGTAGTGATAGTGGTGGTAGTGGTGGTAGTGATAGTGATAGTGGTGGTAGTGGTGGTAGTGATAGTGGTGATAGTGGTGGTAGTGATAGTGGTGGTAGTGGTGGTAGTGATAGTGATGGTAGTGATAGTGGTGGTAGTGGTGGTAGTGATAGTGGTGGTAGTGATAGTGGTGGTAGTGATAGTGGTGGTAGTGATAGTGGTGGTAGTGATGGTAGTGATAGTGATGGTAGTGATAGTGGTGGTAGTGATAGTGGTGGTAGTGATAGTGGTGGTAGTGATAGTGATGGTAGAAATAGTGGTGGTAGTGATAGTGGTGGTAGTGATAGTGGTGGTAGTGGTGGTAGTGATAGTTGTGGTAGTGATAGTGGTGGTAGTGATAGTGGTGGTAGTGGTGGTAGTGGTGGTGATAATGGTGATGGTGATAGTGGTGGTAGTGATAGTGATGGTAGTGATAGTGATGGTAGTGATAGTGGTGGTAGTGATAGTGATGGTAGTGATAGTGATGGTAGTGATAGTGGTGGTAGTGATAGTGGTGGTAGTGATAGTGGTGGTAGTGGTGGTAGTGATAGTGGTGGTAGTGATAGTGGTGGTAGTGATAGTGGTGGTAGTGATAGTGATGGTAGTGATAGTGGTGGTAGTGATAGTGATGGTAGTGATAGAGGTGGTAGTGATAGTGGTGGTAGTGATCGTGGTGGTAGTGATAGTGATGGTAGTGATAGTGATGGTAGTGATAGTGGTGGTAGTGATAGTGATGGTTGTGATAGTGGTGGTAGTGATAGTGGTGGTAGTGATAGTGGTGGTAGTGATAGTGGTGGTAGTGATAGTGGTGGTAGTGATGGTAGTGATAGTGATGGTAGTGATAGTGGTGGTAGTGATAGTGGTGGTAGTGATAGTGGTGGTAGTGATAGTGGTGGTAGTGGTGGTAGTGATAGTGATAGTGGTGGTAGTGGTGGTAGTGATAGTGGTGGTAGTGGTGGTAGTGATAGTGGTGGTAGTGGTGGTAGTGATAGTGATGGTAGTGATAGTGGTGGTAGTGGTGGTAGTGATAGTGGTGGTAGTGATAGTGGTGGTAGTGATAGTGGTGGTAGTGATAGTGGTGGTAGTGATGGTAGTGATAGTGATGGTAGTGATAGTGGTGGTAGTGATAGTGGTGGTAGTGATAGTGGTGGTAGTGATAGTGATGGTAGTAATAGTGGTGGTAGTGATAGTGGTGGTAGTGATAGTGGTGGTAGTGGTGGTAGTGATAGTTGTGGTAGTGATAGTGGTGGTAGTGATAGTGGTGGTAGTGGTGGTAGTGGTGGTGATAATGGTGATGGTGATAGTGGTGGTAGTGATAGTGATGGTAGTGATAGTGATGGTAGTGATAGTGGTGGTAGTGATAGTGATGGTAGTGATAGTGATGGTAGTGATAGTGGTGGTAGTGATAGTGGTGGTAGTGATAGTGGTGGTAGTGGTGGTAGTGATAGTGGTGGTAGTGATAGTGGTGGTAGTGATAGTGGTGGTAGTGATAGTGATGGTAGTGATAGTGGTGGTAGTGATAGTGATGGTAGTGATAGTGGTGGTAGTGATAGTGGTGGTAGTGATCGTGGTGGTCGTGATAGTGATGGTAGTGATAGTGATGGTAGTGATAGTGGTGGTAGTGATAGTGATGGTTGTGATAGTGGTGGTAGTGATAGTGGTGGTAGTGATAGTGGTAGTAGTGATAGTGGTGGTAGTGATAGTGGTGGTAGTGATAGTGGTGGTAGTGATGGTAGTGATAGTGATGGTAGTGATAGTGGTGGTAGTGATAGTGGTGGTAGTGATAGTGGTGGTAGTGATAGTGGTGGTAGTGATAGTGATGGTAGTGATATTGATGGTAGTGATAGTGGTGGTAGTGGTGGTAGTGATAGTGGTTGTGGTGGTAGTGATAGTGGTGGTAGTGATAGTGGTGGTAGCGATAGTGGTGGTGGTGGTGGTGGTAGTGATAGTGATGGTAGTGATAGTGGTGGTAGTGATAGTGGTGGTAGTGATGGTAGTGATAGTGGTGGTAGTGATAGTGGTGGTAGTGATAGTGGTGGTAGTGGTGGTAGTGATAGTGGTGGTAGTGATAGTGGTGGTAGTGATAGTGGTGGTAGTGATAGTGGTGGTAGTGATAGTGCTGGTAGTGATAGTGGTGGTAGTGATAGTGGTGGTAGTGATAGTGGTGGTAGTGGTGGTAGTGATAGTGGTGGTAGTGATAGTGGTGGTAGTGATAGTGGTGGTAGTGATAGTGGTGGTAGTGATGGTAGTGATAGTGGTGGTAGTGATAGTTGTGGTAGTGATGGTAGTGATAGTGGTGGTAGTGATAGTGATGGTAGTGATAGTGATGGTAGTGATAGTGGTGGTAGTGATGGTAGTGATAGTGGTGGTAGTGATAGTGGTGGTAGTGATAGTGATGGTAGTGATAGTGGTGGTAGTGATGGTAATGATAGTGATGGTAGTGATAGTGATGGTAGTGATAGTGATGGTAGTGATAGTGGTGGTAGTGATAGTGGTGGTAGTGATAGTGGTGGTAGTGATAGTGGTGGTAGTGATGGTGGTGGTCGCGATCAATGGTGTAAGGCTGCCCTCTTGTGGTATAGCTGGGACATCACCCACCCACTCACCCACCCACCCAATCACCCACCCACTCACTTATCCACCCACTCACCCACCCACCTCACCCACCCACCCAATCACCCACCCACCCACTCACCAATCCACCCACTCACCCACCCACCCACTCACCCACTCACCCACTCACTCACTCACCCACCCACTCACCCACCCACTCTCCCACCCACTCTCCCACCCACTCACTCACCCACCCACCCAACCACTCTCCCACCCACCCACTCTCCCACCCACCCACTCACCCACCCACACACCTCACCGACGCGACTGCGACATCTATTGGATGCATCCCCGCACGAGGTGACCATGGCGGAGAGAGAGGCGGACAGTGGCACGCGTGTCTGTGAAGGCTGCACGTGGGATCTTGGTGCACAATGAACAACTCGGCACCTCCGTCAACAACACCACGGCACAACCTTGGCATGGAGATGTGCGGCTCGAAACAAGTTCGTGT